GATATCCACTTTTTGAATTTTATTATTGAAAATATTTCTTACTTGTAGAATGCCCTTGGCACACCTATTGAACATCATTAAACCATATATGTGGGGGTTTAGTGAATTGTGACTATTTATTGATTTCATTGTCATACGAAAGCTGGCATTTCTCAGTGGGGCCAGAAGTGACTTGGAAAGTTGTGATAGTCCACACTGCTTCTTTGGGAAGCACTGAAACTCTTGCCCATTAACTGCAGTGACTAGGTCATCCTTGGGTCTGCTTATACCGGCTACTTTTAAAATGAACCATATCACATTTTCTTGTTTTGTTTCAGGTCTGATGACTTTTGATTGGATAATGGCCACTAGGAATACACACTGTAAAGACCCTTGATTCTGTGACATTCTTCTGAACAGTGGCTGGTTGGACAGTCCAGGTATTTTCCCCTGTGGTGACCACTGTAGCTCCTGCTGTTCTGTCAGATTCTAGCCCTTAATTTTTTGTGTGAACCCCTCTCCCTTATGTCTTTAGTTAAAAGTGTGTCAAGAATATAATCATATTTTTAAACATAGACTTTCATGCTCACTTCTAAGACTCTCTCCCTTCTAGAATTTTCCTCATAACTTGTAGAATTCTCTGTGAGTTGTAAGCTCTGTCAGTTGGTTGGTGGAACCAGGAACATTGCCAATTTTTGCTGCTTAAATGCATGTAGATTTGGGAATGTTACAGACTTGTAAAAAAAAAATCACACACTTGTCCTCTGCTTGATTTTTTCAAAGGTCTGACTGCTCTCAGTCACTTCAAATACTCAAAGTAATTGTTAGTTTCCTACTTGTGCAGACATTGTTATCTTGGGGAAGCCGGTCTTATTAAGCTATGTTGCTATCAGAAAGTGCTGTAGCCCAGTATCTAAAAAAGCAATGAATTTAATAAAGAATTTTCTTAGCATTAGGATGGTCCATTTCAATTTATCTCCCTGCTATAAGGAGTGAGAATTCTGGGAAATATTTTTTAGCTTACTAATCCTTTAGGAGGACACAGGTAGATATTATTTGCTCTGCAGGCTCCCATTGTCATGCTTATATCCAAAGCTCTTTTTTTTTTTTTTTTGTTTCATCTTGACTGTGTTACTCAAAACTAATGTTCTATTTTATGCATGTGGAGGGGCAGAGTGGGAGGTGAGTGAGTTTCTTTAAAACACATAAACTTCTCTAAAAATTGAATTACTTATACTGCTTTCGAGAAGGTCTGCACTTTGGAGAAGCTTTAATCTTCTGTGGGTTTTATTCCCCCAGATCTCAGCATCTTAAACAGCTTCTAAGCATTCATTACTTACTAGAGGTGGGAGAGAGAAAAAGACTCTCTTTTAAGGAAGCCACTTCAAGCCCCAATGATGTAATACAGAATTAAAAAGAAAATCTATATGGCTTGGAACTTGCAATGCACACTTTGTAGCATTTCTCCAGAGTCCTGTTCAGAGGGTCTGGAAGCAGCTTTTAAAGGTATTTTAGGAATATATTGTATGTCCAAATTGCAAACAGAATCAGAAATTGGAAAACAGACATTGGGAATAGAGCCTGAAAGGGTTCATTCATAGGTGTACAAGAAAGCAATATTGGTCCTTGAAAAGTGGCATCATCCCTCAAACTAGCAGATTAAGAAAGCTGATAAATGATAGAAGTAAATTTCCACAGTTACTTGTTTCTCACATGTGTGCGAAAAAGGGCAAAGACTAATCTACTTATTTCCCTATCATGTAATACCCATGTTGAAGGTTTTAGAAATATTTCATTGCTACACACAATATGCTTAACACACGTTTATAATGCTAATGATTTCCATCAGGGTGGTCAGTGGAATCGCCAGGGGTCCTGCAGGCCTGGTCCCCACTCCCCAAGTTGTGCAGTTAGTAGAAATCAGACAGGAAATGGAGCCCTGGTATTTTTAAAAGCTCTGGAGAAGATTCTGCAAACACCCTGTAGGCACTCCTAGGAGAAGGGCTCACCCACAGGAAACTGTAACAAACAGTTACTCAAACATAAGCACACATCAGAAAGGACAATGCTTGTTGTTTCACTCAAGTCAAACTTGGGCTGTGTCAGGACAGCAAAAACAGATGCAGGTGTGTTTATAACACTACAGCTGGATGAAGTTAAGCAAATCCAAGAGTGTTCGCTTTTAGGTTATGCTTGGTGTCATCTTGTGAGGAATTACATAAATCCATTAAATATTCCTCTGATGACAGATAAAGGGCCTAAAAATCCAAATCTGCATTTTTTTTCCCTCTTCCAGACCCAGTAAAAGGCAGGCAGATCCCAGCCACACGGGGGAATTTAACATGCACAGAGCTGCTTGCTGCCTCTCGAGGCAAACCGAGTTTTTGCTAGAAATCATGCAACCATTGTAACTGTTTCTGCTCTGCCTTTTGAAAGAGTTCTTTCCATGATTGTGGGTGTTAAAATAGATTCCTCAAGAGCGAGTTCATAGTCACAGGAAAGCCCAGAAGTAGAAAGGACCCTGCAGACAATGAAGACAAACATCAACACGTGCTCCATTGGCTGTGCACTTTCCACCTCTGGAGTCAAATCCTGGTCTCGGTTCCATGTACTCATTTCTGCCTGAAATGTCTTTACCTTCCTTTCTCTTTGTGGTTCTGCACATGGAAGCCAAGGCCTTGCGTATACTGGGCAAGCTTTGTACCACTGACCTCCCCCACGACCAGGGTCCGGACTATTTCCTTTGTTGACAGTCAAGCATGAATTTGGAAATAGTGAAAAGGAGGGTAATGTTCCTGGAGAGGTAACGATGCCGTCATTTTCTAAATTTTAAATTCCTATTACTCTGGTTATAGGGTACCATAACAAAGCCATTAACATAAATGATCCTGCCTGGAAAAACTCTTCCCACAGCGGCATCAGCGACAGCTCTTTGGTTTTATAACCCGCAACACTTGAAAAACTAGTGAACGAAGTTCTCAAGATAAAGCTCTGGGAAAACCTTCCAAAGTTAAGATTACTGAAAATGCTAGAAACACAAGTAATTTTCAGAAATAAATGGAATGACATAGCATTAATTTATTTCATACTATTAGAAAACCCTACCATATATATATATATTTTTTTCTCAGCCTGTAACTATTTTCCAATGATCTTACACTTTCTACTGTTAAGAGTATATGGAAATTTTTTTACCAGAGAAAAGAGTTCTAATGCTGAGAAATTTTACAAGGTAGAATTAATTTTATTCAGGTCATAGGCCTGATTATAATTGCACGTGGTTATTACTTCCCTATTTTGCATAGAAAATGCCACATGATAGACAACATAGATGAAAAAGTGTAAGCTACTGTTATCCCTCATAATCAAGCAGCACTAGCAGTATTACTGTGGTCTTAGCGCAGGCAACTTTTAATTTTAAATCAATGCCTAAACACACAAGGGAAGCAAATGAAACTACTCGTAACTGTGATATGTTGTGCACTAAATAGAGATTCTTGCAGAATGTGAACCACAGCCACAGCCTTAGTGAGCTCATGTTTTTGTAAATGAAATTTCAAGCACAACAATGAAAGGTTTAGTCATCAGTGACTTAGTGTGCAAAAGTTGATCGTGGTGTCTTAGGGGGGTTGTTCAGGGAGGAGACCGCCTCTGTTGTTTTTACGCAACAGTGCTGTCATTTGAACCGTGAAAGTTCAAAATCCTGTGTGGTAAAAACTGGGTCTCCAGGGAGGTACAGTTGTGAGGGGTGGAGCCCTTGCAAGGGCTGACCTGGTAAGAGCTCCTGAGGTCACTGGGCTGTCCCTGTAGGGGATCCTAGGGTCCCACCCCTTCCTCTTTCTCTTTTCACTTCCAGGCCATAGGTGAGCAGCTTTTGATTCCTGCCATGATGCTGCTTCAAGAAACAAGACCCGTTCCTCCTGGATTGGCATCTCCCAAACTGTGCGCCAAAAGAAACTTTTCTCATTTGCAATTTAAACATCTGTTATGGTGGTAGAAACTTCACACCATCACAGCCGTGGTATTAAATTCTTTAATTCTTTACCTTGACATTAAACTCTAGTCAGTGATCTGAGGCTTCCTCCTTATGGGACTGGCCAAAAATCTTAATTGAGTCATTTTATCTGGGCTCAAGAAGATCTGACATAGAAATGATGTCACTGCAAGGGTTAGCATATGCTTTACTGCCTCATGTTTGGAAGTAAGTTGCACACATTGATGTCAAAGCCAGACAGTTCATGAACAGAGTAAAACTTAAAGCTTTTGGGTCTCTCGGCAGCCTCGTTCTGGAAGGAGAACTTCTAGACAGGGGCGTGGTTTGTACTTGGAAACGGGAAGCAAAGCAGAGCGAAATCGGTAGCTGATGTTGATGCAAGAGCGAGTTAATGCTGTTATCTGTGGGAGAGAGTGTTTCTTCAAGGTGTGAACCTCCCCTCCAGGGCTCCGCCCAGAAGAGTCCCCCCCCTCAGCCCATTGAGATCCTGAGCCTGAACTGGTCACAGGGCCCCCACGGTGATCTCTAAGGGCCGCAGCCTGGAGAGGCTGGGGGTGAGTCGTGAATGTGTTCTGGGGTTCTCCGCCCAATCTCCGCAGGGTCTGGACAGCCCTGGGGGTGGCTCCATGTGCGTGCTGGGCTGTGGCATTTTCTAGGTCTCCTGGGAGCGGTCCCGGAGTTGGCAGAGCGCCGTGATTGTGCTCCAGGCTCTGAAATAGGAATCTCAGCCTCCAGGTTCAACTGGACTCTGTACCGTGGGGCCTGGGAAATGAATGAACTCTTCGCCATCCGTTTTTTTCTTCCTGGAATGGGGATTTAATAGCCCCTATTCCTCATCCTGCAGAGTCATGCACTTCCTGGGCCTTAGTTTCCCCATCTGTAAGATGTGTGCTGCGCTCACAGGGTGTGGCAGGATCAAAAGAGTCCCCGCTGTGAACACTGCTGCGGTGCCTGGCGCAGGCTGAGCGCGGCTCTCAGGCTCCCGTGAAGTAATGATCATAAAGCAGACCCTGGAGGCTCAGAAGCAGCAGCCGGTGAGCTTCTTTCTTGGCTTCCTATTTCCAGGGAGCTCCTCTGGGGAGGCCAACGCTCTCTTCTGGTTCCAGCTCGCCTGCAGGGGGCTCTGCTAATCCTGCACCCACCAGCTGGTGATGGGGAGCTGAACGCAGTCTGCTGCCACCGCCCCCTGGAAGAGGCCTGCTCCTGGGGTGCAGCCTGCTGTGCTGCGTGCAGCCTCCCCTCCCCATGCTCCTTGTGCTGGACCCCAGGTTCCCGTGCCTGTGTCTGCACTTGGAGACAGGGACTCACAGATGGCTGATCAGCCTTCTGCTTCCTTCCCAGCGGGGCCTGCACCGTTCATCCCCGAAGGTAAGGTGATGAGAGGGCTTTTTTTTCAGTAGTGGTAAAATACACCGGAAGTACAGCTTGCGGTCTCAACCAAGGTGAGCCGGCGCGTGGGGGTGCCGCCTCCACTCTCCCACACTAGGATGCCTTGCGTCTTGTAAACTCAAGCGCACCCACCCGGAACAGCGGCTCACCTTCCTGGTGCCCCCAGCCCCCGTGACCTCATTCTGCCTCCTGTCCCTGGGAGCAGAACCGTACCAGGTACTTCACGCACATGGAACCGCACGCTGCCTGTGCTTTTGTGCCTGGCTTATTTCGCTTAGCATAATGTCTTCAAGGTCCCCTTGTAACACGTCAGAGTCCTCCCCCCCCCCCTTTAAGGCTGATGAGTATTGCACTGCCATTTCGTCCCTTTGTCTAAGATAGACCCTTGGACTGCTTCTCCTTTAAGCTATTGTGGATAATGCTGCGATGACTTTTCGTACACAAATATCCTTTCTAGACCCTACTTTGAATTATTTTAGGTTTACATGCAGGAGCAAAATTGTCAAATCGTGTAGTAATTATTTCCTCACATTTTGTGAGGAACCACCATACTATTTTTGAAGGAAGACTTTTCCTCATAAAAATCACCCTTGTTATTTTACTCTGAGTCTCACATGGTTATATAATTACATCCCGAGTCATTTTCAGCCTAGGTGCCAACCCTGCAAGCATTTCTCCAGAGAAGGACTTTGGTTGCTAAATGTGAAATATGCTGAAGAGATGTTAAAATGCTAGACCAGGAAGGAGGAGAGATTAGGACAGCTGGAAATCATTAGCATCAATCAAGGAATCGTTGCTTTACAAATATTGCCATGTGTATTCCTGTCAGTTATAAAACTAGCTGTGCAGGGAGGAGTGAGAAGGTGGTTTTGCTGAGTAGAGAGTAATTAGCTTAGACCCCAGGGAGTGCAGATGTTGGCTCTCTTTCCTAAAACATCAGCCTGGAGAGTCCTACACCTTGTGCTACCACAGGCAAGAACTGCCCGGTTTCGTTCTGCCCAGTTTATTTCTCACTGTGGAAGCATCTCCCCTGGGGTCTCGTGAAGACGATGGTCCAAATGGGCTCACTTGGTGTTTCAGGACCCTTGATTCCAAGTCCCCCAGTCAGCATCAGGGAAAAGAAGGAAAGGCAGTCTACAGGGGGAAATTAATTTTGGAATTATTGGGAAAACCTCAAACATCCTTCAAGGCTGAACAAACTGATAACAACAGCAAAATAGCCAGTCATTTCCCCCCATCCGCATTTTGTGTGACACTGCCCCAGGGCGTTTAGGGTACACACTGCATGCCAGAGAAAGGGGACTGGATAGTTTCCTCCCCAGCAATTGTTTCCTATGCCTAGAGGGGAATTTTAGGTTCCTCTTAACTTTTGAGTATTTTGTTCAGTGAGAAAAGGAACTAGAGAATTTCCTGGTTTATGTTGAAGTTTTTTTGAAACCTCTCAATTTTCAACAGCCAAGACAAGGCTTTTCAAGTGACACTGAACTCTTTGACCTGAGACAAAGCCCTTTAGAATTGGTTTTCTCATAGCAGAAAAATGACAAGATGGACTGTTTCAGTTGAAATCATTTGTAATACAACAAACCATTACTTTAGTTTGTATTTCAATGGAGGAAAAAGGAGTGGATACATTGCAGTGTGAGCCTGGTCTAACTTTAGGAGGGTTCCCAGGTCTGGAATTCTGTTATAACTTACAGTGTTGGTACAGAATTTGAAAACTCATCCACAGAACATGCAGACAGCCCAACCGCCTCTCTTCTTTCCTTTTAGGTATCTTCCTACGGAGAAAAATCTACAGGCACTAAGCACTCACAAAACACAATTTCATAAAGGGTTATTATTTGACATAATACTTCACAAGTATAAAAAAACAAATTTAGAATTAACTTTAATAAGTTTAATAATTAAATCTAGGACTAATAAATTTAGAATGAAGGTATAAGTTATTTAGGAAATATTGTGAATGCCTGCCAGGTGATTACATTGTGCTAAAACACCAGAAAGAAGGTGTAGTTGCTTCTGTTTTGTATAAGAAAGTGCTCACGCTTTCAAAAACATCCAGTAGGAGAAGTTTGTGGTGCTTTACTTCTGACTAAGATGGAGAGTTGGGGAGTGGAGACAGCTACTGCGCAAATCACTGCAGCAAAGGCATCTCAGCCTTCCCAAGGCGCTTCCACGGGGCGCAGGGTGCATGGGTATCACAAACAGGGAGCTGAGGACAGACCAGGGAGGTGGCCATAGGGAAGGCCAGTTGGGAGGGCTCCATGAGCTGAGTGAATTGTAACTTTTCCAGAGTTGAAAATGAAGTGGCTGGACCAAATGGAACCTCCTGAATAAAATGACGGGGCTGGGGGCTTAGGGAGTGCCCTTCTTGGTGTTTTTATCTATAGCTCCCTTCTCCACCTCACTCCAAGCTGCCAAAAGACACTGCACTGCCTTTCTTAAAAGACATCGTTGTTGGGCCTGTATTCTGGCTCAGAGCATAAGCGCCTGCCTTGTTGTTTCCTAGGCAGTCAAGTTTGTTAGTTTGATTCTGATACCAACCAAGTAAACAAACAAAACAAACACATGAAAAAGACATAGTTGTTTTAGAAGCCAATTTTTTAGACTTTAAGAGTTTATTGAAAGAATATATCATAAAAGGCAGATTAGAAAACAGAAGAAAATCATATTTTATGCTGGAACAGTTTTTTTTTTTTTTTTTTTAGTTATACTTACATTGAAAAGTTGCCTACTAGAATCATAACATGTATATAATTTTGTGTCCACATCGTTGCGTGCTTGTCTGTACTGCTGCCCAGTTATTGAAGGTCGCTCTTTTCTGCTGAGTGGAGGGCCCTGATCTATTAACATTTTCGGTAATGAGGAGCCTCACATTTACCTGTCAGCACAGGCAGTACCCACCATTCATGTCACTTTTTCTTCCGGAAAGAGTCCCAGAAGAGGGAGCCTGAGGTCGAATGTGAGGAACACTTTTCTGGCTCTCTTCTTCTTTTAATTTTTATTTTTTGTAGTACTGTGGGTCAAATCCAGGGCCTGGGCATGGTAGGCAAGGGCTCTCTATCCTCACTTACCTTTCTAGTCACCTTTCCTGGCTCTTCACACCAGGCACTACCTAAAAGTCCTGTGCAAATATGCGGAGCAGCACGCAGTGGGTGCAGTCTGGCTCTGTGAACACATTTCTCAGCCATTTTTAATGCTTCGTGTGGTTGAACACCGCAGACCCATTCCTGACCTCTGGATCAGAGCTCTTCCTCTTGTCAGAGGAAGGATCCTGTCAGTTCCTTACTCACTGCAGTGACACAATACCGGACACCAGGTTTGCCTGTCAGCACAAGCAGGACAAGGCATCTGTGGTCAGCTGGGGCCAAGGCAGGAAAAAAGTGATGGAGAAGCGAGGGCAGAGGATGGCTGCTCACCTTGTGATGGCCAGGAAGCAGAGAGAGGAGGGAGGAGCCAGGCGAGGAGAGGAGCCTTGCTGGTCATCCCTCCAGTGACCGCCTTGCCTGTCCATAATCCAGTCATGCAGTCCCAGCTCCGAATGCACGGGGCATTGTGGGGACAGTCCAGGTCTAACCTGGAAGGCTGATTTCAAACTGTGGTGAAATATGTGCCGCGTAGAACTGACCGCTCTATCCTGTTTGAGGTGTGCAGCTCAGTGCATCACTTTGCTGTGTTCAGTGCATCACTTTGCTGTGGACTCATGTCCAGGACTTTTCGTCTTGCAGAACTGCAGCTTGATGTCCATTCAGGGTGACCTCCTTCTTGTTTATGTCCCTAGGCCTGGTGCCTATGGCCTCTTCTCTGGCCCTGTGAATCAAACTACTTTAGTTAAGGCACATAAATAAAAGCTTACACTACTGGCCCATTTGCATACATTTTATCTGACTTAACACACCGTCCTCAAGCTCCCTCTGCTAGCGTGTGCCAGCATTTCCTTCATGTTGAGACCCGGCGGTATTCTGTCCTATGTCCACATTGTGTTTGGTTCACCTATTCACTCTCCAGTGGATCCCTGGGCTGGAGTCAAGCAGTGATGTTATGCCTATGGGTGCACTCGCTCTTGTTGCTATGCAAAATGCATGGATGACTTCCAATTTGAGTGAATTAGTAACACACAAGCAATTAATCATGGGGGAAATTCAGGGGCCTGAGTGGGAGCCTCACTGTGTCTTGTATTTGATGTGACTTTGGTCATCCACTTTGGGTGCCAGTTTCCTTCCCTGGGGGAGCTCTGTCTCCAGGAATCACACATGGTTCTCATACCCCTCGGGAAAGGGCACCAATACTCCTGGGATTGTGACGTATTAAGGCTTGGATTAACATGGATGCCATATAATGTCTTTATTAGTTGGACTCTCAGATCTTTAAATGACTTCATGTAGAGGCGCGGTTCCCCCCTCCCTTAATCCTCTCATCCTGGGAAAGAAGAAGCAATGAAGGTCAGCAACTTTCCAGAGGAATTTAGAAGAGAAAAAATCGGAGCTCTTTTCTACACGGGAACCCATGAAAAGAATGCCAGCGCTCTCCTCAGCTTCCCCTGGCGAAGTGGCACAGGTTTAAAGGGTCTACTAACAGCAAAGCAATTTTCATTGAAATGTAAGTGGACTCTTTTGTCTCTGTCAAATGCAATTTAGAGAAATGGCTCCAAAAGACCCAAATTTAGAGCATATTACAGTCCTCGCTAAGATCTTCATAACCTAAGATTTAGATAATGCCACAGTGTTTGAATGACTGTGAAATCTAAATTTGCCTTGTCTTGTGTCCCAGAATATTGGATCCCTAATCTGTTTTGCATGCCAGAGTGAAATGGAGCAAGATTCGTCTTTCCCGTGTCTGCAGAAATTCATTGTTTTTCTTACCACTTTCTTTAGCATTAATCCTTTGAGGGATGGTCTATGTGCTCATTTACCAAGAGTCTAGGGTGACAGAACCTTGTCAAAAGCACTCTCTGGCTACAGAAAGGGCTCTCCTTCAAA